TAATTTAATATAATAATTGTAAAGTATAATTAATTAATTCATGAAAAAACCTGATTTCTACAATTTTAAACTTTGGGACCTGATTTTTAAATTTGGAATAGATAATACCTGAGCTATAAATTTTTCCCTTTTGTCCAAGGGTGGAGGGAAGGGGGCGGGTCTGGGCTAAATGGCCCAATTTTCTTTTAAAGGGATTTTGTTTTTTTTAATGAAAATCCTTTTTTTCTTGATGGATTTATTTATTTATTTATTCGATGTATCGGTGTAGTATCCCTTGGCTTCGCCCCTGATTTTGTCCATGATCGTTGAACATGGTTGGCACCTTGCTTCGACAAGATCGTAGTGTTGGCTATTGTACCAATTGGGGTAAGTGTTTTGTCCTAGTAGCAAAATAACATTTTCAGAATAGCAACACTAGTGCACTCATAGTGTATTGAATTGGATCATGTGTTTGATTTTAGTTGCATGGTATGATCGTGCGAATAATTAAATCGCATTTGAATGTTGGATGGTTTTCCTAAATCCTCAATGCGATAATGGATTCAATTTGTGAGCTAGAGAGTTCTTTGATTTGTCAACTGTAGTGGTAAAAATTGTTCGGCTAGCCCAAGTCAAAAAATTAAGGCCCACAAACGGTCCACTTAACAAACGAGCCATCTTTGGCCCAGTTCTTTATGTCAATTGGGCCAAATGCACGGTACAAGACCCACGTGTCAATTCGAAACCCCTGATAATTTATCTTCAAGTTAAATCACGTTATGAATAGACGAAATCAAGTAAGAGTTATCTGTAAACAAATAGGGTATCTCAACCGAATAGATCTTATTGAGTTCAGCTCCAACCAATTAGAAAATCTCGCAGAATCCTCGTCAATCTCACCTAAACGATTATCCAACCACTATAAATTCGGAGGCTAGTCTTACGTTCAGGTATAGAATAAAAAAATACTCTACTCTAAGTTACTTCTTATTTCTTTTCGTCTAGTATTCGTATAATCCTTGACAAGCTTTACTGACTTGACCGTTGGAGGATCTTTGGCTGGCACCACATCGGTGTCCTCTTAAGATCTCTTGCGGTATTTCTTTCTCGTTCTACTTTCTTGCAGGATTGTTGGTGGCTTGACCGATTCGATTTTTTAACTGTAGAATCTACCGTCTACACCAATGAATTATATAATAAACAGTTAAATTTCTTTGTATGTTAAGAATTTGAATGTAGGTAAATACAACACATTTATTTGTGTTAAGTAACTTTCCCTCTTATTCAGAATAAGATAATATCATTAAGTGTTTTCTATTGAACACTTTGAATCTAGTATCAATATTTCGCGTGTGCAATGTGATCATAAAAAGTGTTGATGAAAGACGAGTTCGATGAATGAAGATAATTAGGAGGGAAAAACATACATTTTATTCCAATTCTAATTATTAGATTTTGAATATTGGTAAAACTTTATTCTTATAAAGATTTATTTTAGTTTCTATGTTTTTTATATTATTTAAGAGTGCAGTTTTCACGTCTTTAATGAAATAAGTGAAGACTAATAGTTAGACTAAATAGTTTTGTAGTTCGAATAACATATTAGACTCTTCGGTAACTCACAAAAAAAAGGACTTAATTATGACTAAGCCCAAGGACTATGATGCAATTAATCAAGAATTAGGCAAGAAAAGGAATTACATCAAATGCATAATTGACCAAGGCGTGATGGCATTACTAAAGGATGAGTTCTTGCATACCTCGGTGGCCGGTCCACTTATAGCCCCAATTTGGGCTCCTTTTTCTCTCAATTTTTTCAATTATACATTCTTCAATAAATTAATGTTACACATAAATTTTTTAAAAGAATTCTTATATTTTAATAATTATTGTGAACTCGCTATCTTCCTTTTCTTGTGACTTTGACAGTCACATCTATGAAGAACTCAACAAAGAAATGTACAAAATATATCACTAGATTGGACTGCGTTATTTTGTAAGAGTTAAGATTGAACATGTTATAGTCGAATTAATGTAGCGTTATTGTAAATATAAAAAAAATAATTATTGGACGGAACCTGGGAACTGAATAGAACCGAACCGAACCGAACGGAACATGTAGCGTTGTTGTAAATATAAAAATAATAATTATTGGACGGAACCTGGGAACTGAATAGAACCGAATCGAACGGACCCGAACGGTTCCATAATTAAATTTGGACCCAACGGTTCAACTTACTAAATACCAGAAAATTTCGGTTCGATTCGGTTCGATTTTCTTCAGAATCGAATCGAACCATGTTTAGCCCCAGTTCTTGCATCTCTCGGTGGCCGGTCCACATATATCCCCAATTTGGGCTCCATTCTAAAAAAAATGCATTTTTCTCTCAATTTTTTCAATTATACATTTTTCAATATATGGACAGAGAGTCCACCGAAAAGAATACAATTTAAGTTTTTTAATTTTGAAGCATCAATCGCTTCCGCTCAAAGCACACTTAAAAGGTTTTCACTTTAATCTCTCACGTGAAATTTATTTTTAATAAACAAAGAAGCTTGTTTCGAATCTACTTTTTTGACAAACAATATTTAATTTATTGAAAAGTACGTATTATTTAAAGAATATAGAGACCTCATTTCCAGTGAGATGTTACCCTTTTCTATCCCTTACTACTCAAACTTAAAAACAAACAATTATCGTATTCCATTTATTGAACGAGGTTCTAAAATCGGCACATTTAAAAAGGACAAAGCACTATCAAAAAGCAATCTATTTTTCTCGTCCAATTGATTAACTAGTAAGTGCGATGACTGGTTTTGTGTGTGAGGACTTTAACGACTTTTTAACTAGTATCAAGATTATTGAAAGGGGGTTTATATTCGCACCACATTTTTTTATAGATACACTACATATTAATTACATTAAACGTCATGACCCTTTATTCATTATCACACGAGAGATGGAAGAAATTTGGAATCTTGTCGTTAATCATGATTTTCGTCCAAAAATATTGTTAATGAACTTTAAAATAAGGATAAAATATTTAATCATATTTTTACATTATTATTTGTTTTGCTTATTTAAAAATACAATGCGCAACTGCGTCTTTTTACTCTATCTTAAAAAAATTGAAGATAAAACTATAATAATTAGGAACAATTTACGCTAATTTGTGAATAAGAATATGATGAAAAAAGATTTGAGACGTAAATGTGATCATGTGTAAATATTATGAACATTTCATACAATTATTAAAAAATGTGGTATAAATATATTTGGCCTTATTTAATTGTTTCTTTCCTTTTTTTAGGTGGAATAGCAAATTGGAATCCACCAAGTGCCTACTTGATAGGTATCAATCATACAACCTCTAAATTATTTAATAAGGTCATAAAATAGAATAAGTGTGTGGTGGTGGATCACATCACAATTATATTATTCAATTGAGTACAATCCACTCCCCATTGCCCATATGATTCACATTTTTCTTCACCCTCAAACTTCAATTCTTTAATTAAACAATACAAAGCTTTTTGCAGTGCTCTTCTGCCGACAATTTTCCACTCTTCAGGCCCTATAAAACCTCTCAACCCTTATCTCTAAGTCTCTACCAAGAAATCATCTGAGAGCTCTTTCTTTCTTCATTCCATTTTTCTCAAGTTCGCGTTAAAACCCTCTTGATCTTATCTTATTCGACACGAACGGACACAAAGAGGGGGTCAATCTGAACCGAGCAGTCGATATAGACTCTTTCAAGCTAACCTATCCCAACAGCCAATCCGGTCAGTTCTCGACTAATTCGATGGCGAAGAAAGTTGAATATCCGAGTTGGATTGAGGTTGCGCCACCACTTATTATTTCCCCACAAAAGACCTCCAATTCTCCTAGCCTTGAGACAATTATAGAAGAGGATTCTGCAGAGAATTGTGAAGATGATGTGAGTTCAGGAATAATATTGGAACTACATGAATTAATAAGCAGCTTATAAGTAGCTTTTTCAATTAAGGGTGCAAACAAATCAAAGTGTACGAGCCTAGAAAACAATTTAGTCAGGAATATAGCATGTATATGAGTTCGAATTGATGTATTTCAGTGCTTTGATGATTTCGTATAGTAGGCTAAGATGAAATTTAATTTAGTTATTTTTAGGTGATATATATTTGTACCAGCGTTGAAATCAATTTACTTTATTAAAAAATGAAATTGCCTGATAAACTTCTATAAAATGATTTCACGGATTCTGAAAGTTCGACATTCACAACTTTTTGTTGCTCAATCGTCACAAATATCGCATCATTGTCGATGCTAATACTATAGAATAATTTTGTATTCCATTATTTCCAATTTCCCGTCTTCGGATTACACACAATGAATCGGTTGATTAAATAAATCGAGGGCAGGCCCTTCCTAAGTGTTTTTTTTTAATTTAATTATCCAATATTTAATTTTTATTAATTAGGAATCTTTTACTTTTGATTAGCATAGGACTTTTGGTGTTTTTGATTAAAATATGTAAAACTTCGGAGTTTTTCCGAATTTTTTCTATGAAATTTTGATGTTCATTTTGGGCTAATGAATTTGACTAGCAAGATCAAATCTTTGGTATCATGTGATGAGTGAATGAAATATTCGATTTTTAAATTTGCAATATTCTTATAATCATCGCATTTTGAACTTATTATTTATTCAAGCATAATTTATCGTGCCGCATTGCACAAGAAGACGTGAACGATAACTTCGATTTATTCAACATATTGTTGTAAACCACTTATAGTTGATAAATAAATAAAAAGACCTACCAAACTTTGACTTATAAAAGCAACTTTCAAAAGCTCTGTTGGTTCCCTTTCTTTGTTGGTTCCCGTGCTATTGCCGTTTTCCCCTTCCTTTTCTCCCTTTG